AATTTGGTGTTTAAGTCCCTTACATTCGTAATATCCATGCGACAAAAAAAATATTTGGTACCAGATATTTTATAGAGCTCCGAAATACCTTTGCCAAAATTTATCTTGAACGGTTAAGTTATAGCTCCCATATATATCCTCAATCCGATTTCAGATTTATTTTGAAATAATGACTAATATCGGCTCAAATCGAAGGAATTTCGAGATGTTCGTTTCCATTTTGTGGAACTCGGCCTCGAAACATATATTTTCATACCCCCCACCATAGTATGGAGGGTATATTAAGTTTCTCATTTCGTTTATAACACCTCGAAGTCTCCATTTCAGACCCCACAAAGTATATATATTCTTGATCAGCATAAAATTCTATGTCGATTTATCAATATCGGTCTGTCTGTCCGTCTGTGGAAATCACTCTAGCTTCCGAACGAAATGAAGTTGGTTGATAAAATTTTACTCAAATGTGTATTATATATGCAGGACTTTTGGTACTGAAAATGGGCCGTGTAGATCCACGTCTTCGTATAGCCCCCATATAACGATATTTTGATGATTTTAGCGACATTATTCACCGGAACTGTTTCAAAATTAATATTTAAAATTCGTAATAGATGTTACGGCTTAAGACAGAAAATGGGCCATGTAGGTCCACGTCTTCGTATAGCCCCCATATAACGGTATCTCCCGATATTCGGTATTTTTATAATTTTAGCGACATTATTTAACGGAATTGCTTCAAAATTAATATTTAAAGTTCGTAATATATGCTACGGCTTAAGGCAGAAAATGGGTCATGTAGGTCCATCTCTTCGTGTAGCCCCCATATAACAGTACCTCCCTATATTCGTTATTTTGACAAGTTTAGGTACAATACCCATCGAAATTGTTTGAGATATCGTATTTGACGTTAGTAATAGATGCTATAGCCTGTGACAGAAAATTGTCTATGCTGGTCCAGGTCTTCGCACAGCTCCGATATAAAGGTACCTCCCTATATACGATATTTTGATGATTTTAGCTACATTATTCACCGTTTATTTCAAGGCAAACAATGCCGATGTAGGTCCACGTCGTATAGACCCCAATATAACGGCAATATTCGGTATTTTTAAAAATTAATAGAATTTTTTAAGAATTTTATTTTTTTTTTAAATTTCCGAATTCATTCCAAATGGTGGAGGGTATTCAAAGTTCGACACGGCCGAACTTACTGCTTTTTAACTTGTATTTTTTTTAATATGACCCTTCTCATGCACTCTATAGCAATGTTATTTGGTATAAAGTAAAAATATGTCTCTGTCAAATTTAGTAAAAATCGATTCAGAATTGGATGTGTCTCCCATATATTAGTTCCTTCTGAAACCAAACTATAACTGCTCTAAAGCCAAATGTTGATTGGTGGTACAATCTACTCCAAATAAATTCTTTTGTTACGGGAGCTCTACTAAATATGCATAGTGGTGTAGGATATCATATAGTCACAGCTCTGTAATTCCCCCATTACGAAATTTATAATTTTAAAACATACTTCCAAAACCACAGTGACCACATGAACACGGAGCCTAACATAAAATTTTAAACTGCAAGAACTTTTTGTTCACTCAATACCAAATTGTACCAAATATAGTACCATTTAGTACTTTTCGTTTTCATAACCACCTCTTTAAAACAAACCTATCGCCAAAAAAAAAATTTCAAAATTCCAGCTTCATCCGTTGAACCTAAATAAAATTGTTTCAAGTTTAGTACCATTTAGTACAGTTCGCACACTTAGTAAACATTTCCAAAAACACCTCCAAATAATACTCCCCTACCTTATTTCTCATAGCGAAATTTTATCTCTATCTATTCATATAATACCAAAGGGTTCCATTTTAGAAGTTAAGTACATTTTTAGGAGTTTAGTACCCTTTTATGAGTTTAGTACCATTTTAGAAGTTTAGTAGAATTTTAGAATTTTTCGTAACCTTAAAAACCTTTTTGAACATTTATCCTGAACTCCATCAGTGACTCTTATTCCAAATTTCAGAATTCCAGTTCTATCACTCACCACAATTTCAATTTATACCAAATTTAGTACCATTTAGTACACATAAGTACAAATATCCATAATAACCTGCATCACACAATCCAAATGAAATGTTATTTCCTAATTTCCGGATTTCATCCAGATCGGTTCCACCAAATCCAAATTGTACCAAATTTAGTACTATACAGTACATGCAATAACGAATTTTCAAAGCTTCTTACATACCCTAATCCTACACTCCCAATGCCAAAATTCAGCACTCCATCGTTATCAGTTCGCCTAAATTCAAATTGTACCAAATTTAATACCATATAGTACAGATAAGTAGAAAATTCAGAATCCTTAACTCCGACAGCAATCTTATTTCCAATTTTCAGGATAGCAGCTCTATTGTTCCCCCAAATCCAAATTGTACCAAATTAAGCACCATATAGTACGGATAAGTACGGACTTCCGAAGCTCCCTACATACCCCAATCCGACACTTCCACAGTAATCCCAATTCCAACATTCAGCTTTTCATCCTTTTCGGTTCGCTTTAATACAAATTGTACCAAATTTAGTAGCATATAGTAGAGATAGGTACAAATTTCCACGACTATCTAAATATCCCAATCCCACACTCCGACAGCAATCTTATTTTAAATTTTTAGGATATCAGTTCTATTGGTACACCTAAATCGAAATTGTACCAAATTTAGTACCATTTAGTACACTTAAGTACACATTTTTTATAACTATCTACATCGCACAGTTCAATAGAATTTTTTCTTCAAATTTCAGGATTCCAACTAAACCGGTACACCCAAAATTTAAATTCTACAAAATATTGTACCATTTAGTACACATAAGTACGAGTTTCCAAAACTACCTACATTCCTCATTACCAGAATGCAATAGTTATCTTATTTCTAAATTTCCGGATTGGTGTTCCCAAAATTTAAATTGTACCAAATTGGTATCATTTAGTACACATAAGTACGAATTTTCAAAACTTCCTACATTCCTCAATCCCAGAATGCAATAGACATCTTATTTCAAAAATTTCAGAATTCCATCTACATCAGGTCACCCAAATCGAAATTATAAAATCAAAATTTCAAGTTTTTAGATCTAACTCTTCACATGATACGAAATTGTACCAAATGTGGTACATTTTTGTATTTTTAATAAACGTAAAGTGCAAACTTCCAAACATCCTTTGGTACATCTATCAGACATTCTCTCCTTGTCCCTTATTCCAAATTTAAGAGTTCTAGCTCTACTACCTCCATTTCATACTTTGCGTAAAGTTTTAGTACGTATATCCAAAAATCCAGCCTTATCTAACCCCTTCGAACCAAGAGTGACCCTCACGCAAAATTTGCAGAGTTTTTCAATTACTTTACTTTTTATATGGGGGTATTATAAGCTTGATTGGGCCAAAAATTATGTAACACCACGAAATGTTGGTTTCCCACATAGGAAAGTATATATGGATCTTCCTAACTCGCCGAGCTGAGTCGATCTAGCTATGTATGTTCGTCTGTCCATGTTAATTTGTAATCACTCTACAGGTCGCAATTATGACCCGATCTTTACGAAATTTAGAATGGAGGTGGGGCTAGGGTGAGAATAGAACTCTAATTCTTTTGGAGATGATCGCATAATATTTAAGGGTTGAAATGGACCAAAAAAATTTTTCATATTTTTAATCGCATGCGATTTTTTCAATTTGACTTATAATATCTTGTTATATTTTTTTCACCTTACAACACAGGTTGGGGATATTATATAAGTATTGCAAATATCGTCCGATCCTAACGAAAAACGGTAGGGTTGGGCTCAGAAGGGCTAGGCCTATTGTTTTCAAATATGTCCGCAATATATAAGGGGTCGAAATGGACCAACAACTAAAAATTTTTCTGATTTTACAGCCGTTATAAAGGCCACAAATAGAAACTAAATGACACGAAATCTCGCATGAAGTTAGAGATTAGGACAGCGGGTAGAATGGACCACTACTTTTGTCTGAAATAATACCAACATTGCTTACAGATGATATCCGAAATACACAAAAGGCGAACGTCTGGCCTTTTTATGATGATTTCTTTGACGAATATAGCCAAATATCTCAGACAAACAAATCATATAGACGAGTCTAAATTTAGAGATACAGAGGGGCCTCTTGTTTTTGGAGATGATCGCAAAATATTTAGGAGTTCAAATGACCCAAAAACAGAAAAAATTTCCTGATCACAGAATTGGAGACAATCGACACACCTGAGAAGAGAGTTAAGGACAGGGAAGAGTGTAATTATTATATTTAGCAGTAAAATGGACCACAACAACTAACAGCACGACGGAGTGCGTAAATATTAGGCAAATGCCCCTGGTCAAAATGCTAAAGGTAATATCTGGGCAGTGCTCCATGAAATAATTTCAAAAGCGAAAACTTACAAAAGGGATTAGGACATAGGGGGCTTCTAACATATAGTATGGTCGGCCCCGCACTACTATAGTCTTTGCTTACTTGTTTATTAATATAGATATCCATTGTTTTATTCGAAATGTTTGTAGGGGGTTGGCCAATATCGGGCTGCTCTTTATAGTATTTCCCCAACAAAGTCCTAAGATTATTAATAATTATAAATACGATATAATATCCTGAGATTCTCCACATTTCCTTAACAAACATATCAAAGGAACACCATTATATATTAACTCCACTGGAATCAATATTTCATGACTGACGCAGTTCATTGGCCATGTTCTTGGTATTTGCTACTTCTGACCCTTCCTTATTAAGCCACATTTCATGTACTCAATATTTCATGAATTCAATAAAAATCGATGGAGAATCACGGTATTTGTTACTTCTTCATATATGCTTGTACTCAAAAAGATAGTATTTTTTATCATTCTCCTACTTTCATATCGCCTTTCATATATTCATTGGTTTTCCTTTTTTTTTTTTTCTTATTTTCTTGCAGACATCCCTTGCTACTGGAATGAATGAAGTAGCGCCCATACACCAAGTCAACCGATAAGAAATAAAAAGTGTATAGAATTTTCCATGTATGTTCAATATTCAGAATACCAGAATGAACGAAAACAGTGTTTGACCCAGAATGGAAAAAAAGCTGGTCCATTAATGAAACATCGCTGAAATTGTCAGTTTCAGGTAAGTCTCTTTGAAAATGAAAATTGAAAAGGAAACAACAAGAATAACACCAACGACGACAAGGATGTGATCCATCCTTTATTTCGTTTTTGTTTTACATTTTTTTTTTTTTTGTTTTGCAATGAAATTCAAGAGCTGGCATTTAAGGAAAACAAACCTTGTTTTTTATGCAGCTGTCATTTATTGGTTTGCCTTGGGTCATTTATCTGCATTCGGGTAGACCAGAGGTATAGGTTTTACACCCGTCGTTCAGTTTTGTTGCTTTTCCTGTTGTCTATTTGTTTTTTTTTTTTTTTTCTTTTTTTCGCCATCTCTTCTAGCTATTGAGAAATGGACGCGCACTTTATGCACCAAACTTGAGGCGATTTGCCTGCAGTTTTCGTTTGCCACGAAAGACGGAAGAGAGCGAGTCATGTGTATGCATGAAAAACGCTTCCAAGCCACATTCTTTGCCTGGCAGGCAATAAAGTTAAAGCGTAAAAAAAACTTTCCTTTTCTTTCTAATTGAATTGAGGCATTTTTAACCAGTTCATGGGGAAATATATTGAGAGTGGATGTAGTTTTGGGGAAGAACAAAGTCTTGTGCAAAACTCGTTACAGACTTGTCAAATAAAGTTTTTATTTTCCCAAACATGTCACTTTTGTGAGCATGGATATTTTTCCATTTTCACGGAAAACTTTTGTTTTTAGTTTTTTGAAATGTATTGAATGATGTGATATCTAATAATTTTGTCAATTTTTCAAAGTAAGGTAGAGTTGGTTGTTTGGAAAAAAAAACTTGATGGAGCTGAAGGTAAAGGCAAAGGAAATTATTTTTTTTAAAATTTGCATTGCACATCAATGTATGACCGAATTTGGGTCCAAAATATTACAAATATATATGTAACAATTAATTTTTGAAATATTTTTTTTTTTAATTCGAAAAAATACTATTTCGGTATATCTGGCACTTTTTGCATAGACAATTTTATTTTATTGTTTTGTCTGTCTATTCCTCAAAGTAGAATATTTTTATAAAATCACAAACTTACCACGAACAGGAACCGCTAAGCAAAATTGCAAAATTCCAGCTTTAACCGTTCACCCTAATCCTGACTGTTCCAAGTTTAATACCATTTAATACGGTTCGCACTTATATCTGATATATATGACAATTCCTTTTCAGGGGGTAAAGTGCTCACATAGAACTCCTTGTGTGGATTTTCAGACAATACGATTTGAAAATGTGGCTAAAATCATCAAAATACCGAATATCGAGGGTACCGTTATATGGGGGCTATACGATATCATGGACCTATATAGATAATTTTATGCCGAGGTATAAAGTGCCCACAAGGAACTCCTTGTGTGGATTTTCAGACAATTCCGTTGAAAATGTGGCTAACATCATCAAAACACCGAATATCGGGGGTACAGTTATATGGGGGATATGCGATATCGTGGACCTATATAGACAATTCTTTTTCAGAGGGTAAAGTATTCAGATGGAACTACTTGTGTGAATTTTTAGACAATTCCATTGAAAAATGTGGCTAACATATTCAAAATACCGAATATCGGAGGGTACCGTTATATGAGGGCTATACGATATCGTGGACCAATATAGCCCATCTTCGAACTTAACCTGTCTGCAGACAAAAGAGAGATCTGTGCAAAATTTTAGCTTCCTATCTTAATTCGTTTAGACTGTAGCGTGTAGACTGTAGCAACAGACGGACAGTGCTAAATCGTCTTAGAATTTTACGCTGATCAAAAATATATATACTTTGTTGGGTCAAAAATGATTATTTCGATGAGTTACAAACGGAATGTCGAGCTTGTCTGTCTGGCTGATGCCCACGACAACTCTCGAGTATCCGATTTGATCCAAACTTTGTGCATTTTATTATTATAGTGTAACATAGATCGAGTTCGGAGACGGGCACTCTGACCACTCTCACAAAAGATCAAAATTTAAAAAGAAAAGAAAATTTAACCCATAGATAATGAAAGGATCATTCGATTTTGGGAAAACCTTGCAAATCCTAATAAGTGCTGGGTCAGGTGCGAAAATGGATAATGTCGACCCACTCCATCGAGTACCTCTCCCACAAAGGGTCATAATTTTGAAAATCTTATAAAATGTGAAGTATGTGTCCGAATGTCTTCAAATTTCACACATTCCAATACCCTCATCAACACAAGATCTGATGTAATGATATATCGGATCACTTGTCCCGGTACCTCCCCGACAATGGTCAAAATTTTGAACAATTATGACTCTCATCAAATACGAAATGAGCATCCGATTTCCCTCAAATATCGCACATCCCAATATGTGTACTAACACAAGATCTTGTGTAATGATGGAATATGCCGGACCATTCCTTCTGATACCCCTCCCACAAGAGGCAAAATAACAGCTAGATTTCACACATAGAATTATTTTTACCCTACATTACATAGTGATAAAGGACTTTGTGCATTTGTTTGTAACATGGAGAAGGAAACGAGTTAGACCCATAGTTACTTTTAATGATCTGCTTAGAATCACATTCTGAATCGAATTATGGTGTCCGTCCAGTAAAAAAATACGTACGTAAAAATTTGTGGAAATCGGTTAAGATATAGCTCTCATACATTTTCTTCATCCGATTTGTGTTTCCTCCACAGCCGTAATATGCATTCCCTAACAACGACATTTGGAGAAATACATCAAATATAGCTCAGAAATACCTTTGCGAAATTTTATCGAGATAGATTCAGATTGGTTATAGCTTCCATATATGTATTCATTCGATTTTACGTTTATTGTGCACCAAATGGTTTCATCCGATTTTGTATTTTATCCCCCACATCCGTAAAATAATCTCACCGATATTTGATGGCAACTCTGAGATAGATATACCTCTGCTTAATTTACAAAGATCAGTTAATATTTTTATATAGCTCCCATATATGTTTGCATCCGATTTCACGTTTACTGTGCCTAAAAAGTGTGATATCAGCTCAAATAGGATGGATTTTGATGAATATCGGTTCAGACACAAATTCTTTCATCAAAATTTAGTTGAATATAACAGAAGCCTGTCATATTTTAGTTTTATTTCGTCCTTAAATTATAACGATAATAGTTGGTATATTTCAATTCTCATAAATTCCGCATAAAAAATTTAATTATTATATATAGCTCTATCATATATGGAAAATGGTGTAGTTTATCATAAAGTAAGCCCAGCCCGACTTTGGTCTTTCTTTACTAATTTTATAAGTACAAGATCTGACGTGAAGATGATATATATCGACACATCCCTTCTGTTATCTCTGCCACAAAGGTTCACAATTAGCAATACTCATTCCTCATTCCTCCTCATTCCTCCTATTACCTCCCCCTAAAAAGGTTTAAAATATGATTAACAATAATTCCCAAAAACTGTTTATAGGTGTTTGATTTTTTTCAAAATTTGGTCATCCAAATATTTTCTATCAGTTTTAGATAAGGCACACTCCGGTCCACTGTAGTTATTTAATTTAATGAATAAAATGTTTTAAAATATATGCATTAAAAAATAGAAGCAGGTGCCAGCTACGCTGTGCAGATCAAGTAGTTATGTTACAGACTTCGTATTTGACAGTGGTCTCCCATTTTCGTGTTGGTTAAGTTCGTCCATAAATGGTGTTGCATCCTCGAGCCGCAACGTACAACATACCGAAAATCAAAAATCCAGATTTAGTGGATATTTAAATATCAAGGTTTAGTTCCGAATATTTACTTACATTTGACTCTGAGCGATGTAAGCTTCCCCATCGCCGATACACGTGTCTTCTATTTTTAACTTATTTTTATAATTCGGTAGTTTTTTTTCTGTGATTTGAATAATTTTAATTTTGTTGTCCCATAGAGGTATAATAACTTAAAAATATTAAGTCGGACGGAGCCAACTATATGCTACCCTACACCAATAGGCGATTATAGCAGAGCTCCCGTAGCAAAAACGTTTATATTGAGAATTTATGTGAAGTAGATCATACCTATTTTAAACCAAATAACATTGCTATATAGTTCATGGCATGACTTCGATAAGCATTATATTAAAAAATATTTATTGGAGCAATAGATATACCCGAACGAGTTACACCAAATGGTAAAATTCGGTTGAATATGAAAAATTGAATTCAATTTGCGCTGATATTACATATATGGTGAGAAATAACTTACAATCGGAGCTATATAAAAATCTAAACCGATCTCGATAAAATTTGGCAGAAGTATTTTCGAGCAGTGTCTGATGCCCACAAAAATATCATAGTTGTGGAGTGCATATTGCGGAAGTGAGGGACTTAAAAAACTAAATAGGATGAATCATATATATGGGAGCTATGGATATATCTGAACCGATTTTCAGCGATTTGTGAGGAAATTACATCAAGTACAGGGTGAGATGAAAAGACTGCAACCAGCTTCAGACTGCTGTCATTTCTAAGACACTCGTCCGACAGCTGTTAAAATTATTCCAGTGACAGGTCATTATAATGTTAACAAAAGCATTTAGGTGAGATTATTCCAGAAAAAAAGTTATTCGTGATGGAATTCAAGAGTGATTTCTTTATATTTGGCTGGATAACGACAAGTGGCTATCGTTAGAGCACTCCAGCATTTACATATGAATAAAACTTTTGTGTCTCGTGCCAACGCTCGTTACCGTGATAATGGTTGCGTAACCCGACGTCAAAGAAGTGGATGGAAGAAAACTGCAACAGAGCAGAAATGGTTCGAAATTAAAGAAGCGACTTGATCGAAACCCGCGTCGCAGTTGCCGAAAAATGACTGGTGAGCAGAACATATCGCAATATTCCATTAGGAAAATATTGCAAAATGAGCTCCGGATAAAGCCATTGAAATTCCAGAAAGTGCATGAACTTACACTCAAAAGAGCTAAAGAGTTGGTTCGCTTGGCCGAAAGTGGTGAACAGCCGAATTTGGTTTTCTTTGATGAGAAAACATTCGTTGTCCAGCAGTT